TATTTGAACTAAAAAATTGTACATTGCATTTTTAAATTGAAAATATTCTCCTATACGAATTCATACATAAAATTAATACTTTTATTTTACCTCAACTCTGTGTCAACTAGGTTTTTATTTCGCACACCTCACTGCATGACTGATTGAAACTATTGACAAATGCCAAAATTGTGGTTGGAATTGGAAAATTTCTTTGGGTGTTTGATGATGAGGTTTCATAAATGAATAATATGTAAAAGAAATTAACGGTCTATATATATATATATATATATATATATATATATATATATATATATATATATATATATGTGGCATGCAGCCAAAAGCAAAACACAAAGCAAAACACAGTCTTCGCGCGCAGGCGCAGCTAATGAGAACCGAAACTGTGGAAACTTTTGAACTAGTGAAAGTGAAACAAAAACTTTTGGACATTAGAGCAGAGATAGAGAGAGAAAGGAGAACGCGAGAGGTGCGCGAGCAGGCGTTACCTTCTGAATATCATCGTCAAACTTATCTGTAAAAACTTATCTACCTTTTTAATTAATTTTTGTTTAATGTTAAAATAAAATAGAAGAAAGACCAACGTATTGGACCCCTTGTTGTCTCCCACAAATTATGGGGGCTCGCCCGGGATAGATAAAATTTCGATTTTGAACCAAAGTCTGGACAATGAACAACAGCGTCCGTGAAGGAGACGCTCCGCCATTTTTCGGAAACTTCGTTCAACCTGTGTAGAGGTTGAATTTTTCAACTTCATTCCGCCTGTGTAGAGGTCGGAACAAATAACAAAATAACCTGTGTAGAGGTATTTTTCAACGAACCATCGACAAATATTCCGCCTGTGTAGAGGTTGGAAAACCCATCGACGAAAATCCCGCCTGTGTAGAGGTTGGAACTAATTCAGTGTGAATAATCCGCCTGTGTAGAGGCCGGAACCACAATTTCAACTATATTACCTGCGAAGAGGTGAAATCAGTGGAATCAACGTTTTTATTGGATACATCGTACGTGCGAGCAACAAGGGAGCCAGAGAAAAAAAAAAGGTAGGATCTTTCTAAATTTTTATAAAATGTATAAAAACGCTCTTAAAGAGGATCTCATAAGAGTAGTTGAAGAGCTAGACGGTATTGTCGAAAGTACTGACACTATAGTTAAACTAAAGACTAAAATTGAGAACAGTAGTACATTTGAAAGTGATCCAGATTTCGTTAAAACTTTAATTCAAAACTGTATAGATGAGAGAGTATCGCAAAACGAAAGAGAGGTAACTTCAGAACAAAAAAATTGAGCTCGCGAAACTTCAGTTAGCAAAATTAGAAAAGAAATCGAACTACAATTGGCTAAAAATAAAGCATTAAGTTTAAATCCTGCAGCTAAAGTCGAAGAAAAACAGTTCGAAACTAACATAGAAAATATGATAAAAGTATAAAAAACTTTATCTCTTCCTGTTCCCACCAGATCTGAAAATTTTAATCTGTTCTTCCAATCATTAGAACGCGCATTTTTAACCAAGAAAATAAATGACGAATATAAATCTGAAATTTTAATAAATCTTCTGGGCGAAAGAGCTCATAACGTCTTACTGTATATTAAAGAAGAGGAATTAAATGACTATGAAAAAAAAAACTAAAAATCTATAGTACTCAGAGAATTCCAATTAACTCCTCGCGAGTGTTTAAACTCATTTAAAAATGCTGTAAAATCATCAGGCGAGACATACATCCAATTTGCTGCAAGATTGACGGCAAACTTCCAATATTATTGTTCGTTAAGAAAAGTTAATTCCTTTGAATCTCTATGTGATCTTATAATTTCTGATAAATTATTTGAAACTTTAAATAAGGAAACTGCAACTCATATTGGCATTCGAGAAGCAGAAGATTGGTTTAGGCCCATTGATTTAGCTAAAGAGTGCGATATTTATATTTCATCTAGAAGCGGATCACATAAAGAAATTCCTATTACTTATGGATATACCCAAGACCCCTTTAAAAAATAAATCACAAAACTTTAAAACAAAGATTAAAGAGAACTATCCCCAATATCATGAAAGAGAAAATAAAAATTGCTTTATATGCGGTGATTCATCTCATTGCGCAAGAGACTGTGAGAAGCGTTTTAAACCTAAAGAATCTAATGATCACATCCATAATAAAATAAACGTGAATACTTTGAAAATCGAGAGCGAAAAACAAAATAGCGGTGAATGCGCAAATCTTCAATACGTAAACATTTTTGTGGAAAATCAGCCCGTAACAGCATTGATTGATTCAGGTTGCCAGATCCCAGTTTTAAATTCCTCACTAATTAGAGTGCAAACACCTTCCGAAGAGATCATAACATTAAGTTCATGTTTTGGCGAACAGCGTATGGTAAAAGTTAAACCCATAAATATTTCTCTTAATCAACAGTCTCCTAGCCTAAGTGTGCGAACGGCGATATCACCGACCTTGACCGAAGAATTTATTATACATCCCAGTGTATATTCTGAAATAGAGAAACTAGGCCACGCAAAGAGCGATGTTTTATTGAGTGAAAGTGGATCCTCTTTGAGTGCAGATTGTGGTGTTTCTTTTCCAAATGTTTCTGTTTCAAATGTGATAGAAAACTCTAGTTATGATTTATCACATGTTATAAACTTTAATACTAGAAGTGATTCGAGTTCTCTAATTAAGGATTATAAATGTAATAAAATTAAGAGTACTAAGTTAAAAATGAATATTAAATTGAAAAATGATATTCCTGTGTGTCAGAGAGCCAGACGTTTATCTTGTTCTGAGAAATTACAGGTAAACAATCAAATTGATGATTGGTTACGACAAGGTATAAAAGAGAGTGTTTTTGATTATTGTTCTGATATAGTATTGTGTAAGAAAGCCAATTGTGCCATGAAGATGAGTTCCGTGGAATTTATCTCCCGCTCACCTAACCCTTTACCTATGAAGAGTAAACATCATCGGTTTGTGTTGCTCCGAAGGATCTTCCAGCCCTGGCAGTGGAAACGAAGGAAAAAGAGAAATCGTTTTGAACAGACGTCCAGAACTCTACAGAGGAAAATATCGATGCGTTCAACCAAAGATCAACTTGTTAAAAAAGACGTTCTTCTGCCTGTGAAAAACAATGTTTTCCTGTGGAACCTTCCGGATGTCGAAGAGATGCCTTCACATGATGGAGAAACTGTCTAGTTCAGAAAAATTATGATATGTTTAATCTCTATATATTTGTCGTATAGTCCTTGTCTGTTCCGTTTTTTTTTGTATGTTTCAGATTCTCCTCTGGTCTCCATGGAAATACCGCTGCGGACAGCGTACGGTCAGAATGGCCGTTGTGGCATGCAGCCAAAAGCAAAACACAGTCTTCGCGCGCAGGCGCAGCTAATGAGAACCGAAACTGTGGAAACTTTTGAACTAGTGAAAGTGAAACAAAAACTTTTGGACATTAGAGCAGAGATAGAGAGAGAAAGGAGAACGCGAGAGGTGCGCGAGCAGGCGTTACCTTCTGAATATTTTCGTCAAACTTATCTGTAAAAAAACTTATCTGTAAAAACTTATCTACCTTTTTAATTAATTTTTGTTTAATGTTAAAATAAAAATAGAAGAAAGACCAACGTATTGACCCCTTGTTGTCTCCCACATTATATATATATATATATATATATATATATATATATATATATATATATATATATATATATATGATTGAATTCTATAGTTAAATTCCTATGTTTAGAAAATTCCGCATGAAACTTTGTAGACAATCTGTAACGCTTGATGAAGATAAGAGAAGAGAAAAACAAGATAAGATTTTATTAGCCCATTGGGATCGGTCATTTGTAGTTCGATAAAGGATATAACTGTTAAAAATACATTTTTATATTTTTGTTCTATTTCTTTGCGGTACAGTAACAGCAATTCCCCGTGCATCTTTATTATTATAATAAATAATAATCAAATGAGTATTAAACTACAAAAACTGAATAAATGAATGTACGTTTTGTTTTAAATTGGCTGAAATATAAACTAAGAAAAAATGTTATGTCGTAAAACAAACCACATCGGTTCGTCCTTCAATTCTGTGACTGAAATCGTTGATTTAATTTTTCTTAAAAAATCAAATTATAACTACAAGAGAAAAATACAGATCAAAATTTAAAAATTCCTCACGATAAAAATAAAACAAAACAAAAATATAATTCGATGAAAACATAAAAAAATTCTTACCTCCCATGGTTTCTAAAAACTCTAAAGAGTACTACTCTATTTTCTTATTACTTCAGACTGAAAGATTCAATGAATTTTCTACTGGAACAATAAATAAAACTAATTGGAAGTGAAAAGCTAAAGAATAAGCATTACAAGAAAACACGTGTTTTCAGCAACGGTTTTGATACAGACAGCGGCGATTTTACGATGTAACGGTAGCAAGAGTAAAAATGGGTTTTTATGTTTATGAAACCGGGAGTAGATACTGTAACATTTCTACTACTACGTCATAAAAAAAATGAGGGGGAGTCTTGTGAGCGAGAGTGACAGTAGGCAAGGTTGTTGAAACCGAGATAACCTTGGTCCCAGTAAGGAATGGAAAGGGATTGGTTTAAATAATTGACGTCATCCAGAGAGAGAAACGAAACAAGCCAACTTATTTCTTTCATAATCAGAATGAAACTCACTCGGATAGTTCTCGGTGTTTAATTTTAAATAACAAGTAATAGTTTTTAAAAAAATTAAGTTATTTACCAATTAGGTTAAACAAAAAAAAATTTATTTTAGAACTTTTTTAAATAATTACAATTAATATATAAATATGTATGTACATATGAGAGAGTCACAACATTAAGTGAAATAATTGAAAGCGCTTTTTCCTTGAAATTTACCATTTTCCTTTATATATAAGGTGTTGGACTACTTTTTTGTTTGTTTGCTACTACTTATTCATTAATTAAAATAAATATTCTAGCAAAATAGTATAGTAAGAAGAAATCACATTCTCAGAAATTAGGCCATCCCAAGTGGGATTCAAACCCACGGCCTCTGTAATATAAGTACAATGCGTGATCCATTGCGCTACAGGGGCACAACGAGGGATTTTCCTTTTTATATATGAAATTGGACTATTATTTTTGTTTGTTACAATTTATTCATTAATTAAATAGAATTAATGAATTAGTATTTGAAAAAAACTGTATTAACATCAAGTGTCATCCACTTCAAGTTTAAAAAATTGTATTTGAACTTGAGTGGATGAATATGAAAGCATTTTATTAACAATTGAAAATTTGAGCAAGATATATATATATATATTATATAAACAGAAGGGGGAGTGTGAACTATTCGTAGGAATTGAAAAAGGTTGAAAAGGCGTGTTCGTTATAAACTAAACATCAAAACAAGTAGTGCATGTTTTCTTCGTCGTAGTTTCGATCTCTGTTTTTGTGACCAATGCGTCATATTGCAAATCAGGGCTTGACTTTTTGATAATCAAATAAAAAAACTACATTACATCACAGAGTAATAAATGAATCATTTTTTATAAGTTGATTCTTATGCATTGTACATAATAATTTAAATATAGCTTTATAATTTTTTATTTTTATTTTTAAGGGACCATAAGTTTATTTTTGAATTAAAAAACGTCATAAAAAAATGAAATGATCGAAAATAGATTTGACATGTTGTATGATTCTGAACTTAACAAATGAGTTCATACTAAATGTTTATTTCATATATCACCTCACCTCGCAGAGAATAAATTCAAATGAAGATGTAATGTGTTTCGTAAAGTCACTTAATACATAAAAGCAATTCAGAATTTTGCTTATATTGATGATTCATAAATAGATTTTACTTATTTATCGTATTTAGTTTTGTTTTTTATATTCTGGGACTCCAAAGTTATTGTTTCTTGATCAGTTCTTAAGAATCCAGTATTAATTAAAACATAAATTTCATCCATTTATTAAGGGAGGATTTTTTTTGTTATTTTTTTAAACTACGTTTACTTATAATTTAGAAAGTGCTTTTTGACTATAAATCAAAACAATTTTTAATGATTTAAACTATTTTTTACACTGCTTATATACCAATACAATCAGAATTATTGTGCTTACATTTCTAAGATCACCATATTGTTCATGAAATTCTTGATTTAATTTAGAATATAGTGTGAAGTGTTACTTGTACACACGGAAAAACCAGGAATGTCTTTTCTTGGAAATAACAGTTGGGTGTTTTCTTTGAAAAAAAATGGCGCTGCCACGTATCCTGTTGTTTTTGTTGTTACTAATGCCACCTGATCGGCATAGGCCAGATCGAGGCCCACGAAATTCATCATGGCAAAAGGCTAAGTGACGCCAGTCGTTAGCCGTAGCTTTGAGCACCATACATGTGACAGTACGATTTGGCTCGATTTCACCCCAATTTAGAGGGAGAATACTCTGGAGGTGGTCAGAGGCCTCCCACCTCTCTTCCCCTTCTACCAACCTCACGAGAGGACTTGCGGCTCGACGGCAATTTAGAGTACTCCCATGCCGCGCAGGCACTATACATTAACAAACATCCATGTCTTCTCCGGGATTCGAACCCAGTCCCTACGGCACAGCAGTCAGCATCGCTAACCACTATACCGGATGGGCGACACCACCACGTATCCTAGCGGTACAATCACGAACTCGTTATTGGCATGTCTCCAGCTCGAGCCTTTATGCCACAGAAGATCCGCCATGTAGAGGTGCTGTTGGCGCATGCGCGCCAACGTCATGCGCACAAATGCAAATATGCTTCCTTGCCGCGCTGTGACGGCAGTTGAGAACTTTCTGTGGAACGAGATAGACGCGAAAAATTTCTCTTTAATACTCAGACGTGAGCATTAATATAGGACTCTAATACTCGAAGCTCACAATAAAAATTACTTAAAATTTGCTGCGCTTGTAAATAGCATATATATGTTGTGTGATATACGTTGTGTGGTTAAATAAAAAAGTAAAAAAAGAAATAAGCGTGGCTGGTCCGTCGATGAAACAAAAACAACAAACTAAAAATAAACATTCTGGTTCCGCTCGTGCCAGGAGAGATCAGTGTATTATGGATAAGCAAAACAGATTAAAAAGTACCTTGGAAGGTAAAATAAGCAGAATTGAAACGTTCATTGAAAGTGAAAAAATTCATTGGTTGAAATAAAAGTAAAGCTAAGAAGTCTCATTCTACTACAAAAAAACGCGGAGGAACTTCGTAACAACTATTACGCCATTCCGAATGTGAAAGATGCAGAGTTAACTGCCGTAGACGAAGATCTCCATCTTCTTGAAGTCCGCCTTGAGTCATTAGAGGTAAGAATTGAAACTATTCTTAATTCCTCTAAGAAATCAAGTTCTGGGGCAGTAATGAAAACAAATGATAATTTCGAAATAAAAACTAAAATACCTCCTTTAGTTTTACCCGAGTTCTCGGGAAAATACGAAGAATTTAGTTCAGTTAAAATCCAATTTGACGATCTGATCACAAATAACATACTACTGAGTGAATCTCAGAAGCTATACTACCTCAGATCTTGTTTGACTCATGAAGTTAATTATTTATGTAGTAATTTTGATTCTTTATATGAATTTTTAGAAAATAGATACGAAAATGTGTGTGAACGATTAATAATCAATATTCATATTCAAAATATTTTGAAGCTTGAAAAAATACAAAATGAAAATTCCACAGAAATTAGAAATATGATTGATTGCGTTCAAAAAAATTTACGAGCATTAAAAGTACTTTAATATGAGCAAAATAAATTATCCGATGTTTTACTTATTAATATTCTAGCTGAAAAACTTGATAGAGAATCGAGAAAAATTTTTGAATTATCACATAAATCCAAAACCGTCCTTACATTTCAAGAATTTATTGAATTCTT